CCCATCCCATCCCATCCCATCCCAACCCCATCCCATCCCCCCCCCCCCCAACCCATCCCAACCCCCATCCCATCCCATCCCATCCCATCCCATCCCATCCCATCCCACCCCATCCCATCCCATCCCATCCCATCCCCGACACCTCGCCCTGTCCCTCCAAGCCCTGTCCAAGCTGGAATCAGCTTCTTGCAGGAATTTTTCCAATCCCTGTTCCCAAATCCCACGGTTTGTCCCGGAATTCCGGCCGGGATTCTCCTGCTGGGACAGGGCGAGGTTCGGTTCCCTCATCCCAGTTTGGCCCCGGCATTCCCGGGAAGGATCTGAGGGATTGGCAGGAGGGGCTCAGCTGGAACAGATCCCAGGGGAAGGATGGAAAACTACAGGGAGAAACATTCCCTGGAGAAAACTCTGGGATTTTTGGGATTTTGTTGTTACTCATGAATCACCAGAGAGAACAGTCCCGAGTTTTTCCAGGGAATGTTGAGGGTGGAATGAGGAACAATTCCCTCCTGGAAAAGGTCGTGCAGGGGTGGAGTCCCTGTTCCCGTAGGGATTTAAATCCGTGTGGGTGTGGCACCTGGGGACACTGGCCGAACTCCACGGGGTCCAAAGGGTTTTCCAACCTCAACAATTCCACGATTCCATGAAAAAGTTGGAGATGGGAGTCCCAGCTGCAGCCTCAGAGGGTTTTTAGTGGATTGGGGGGGACCAGGGGTAGGGATTCAGGGAATGTGAATTCCCAGGGGCCACCGAACCGCCTGAGTTCCATGTGGGAAACTCCAGCTCCGGGGGGGAAAACGTCCCATTCCCGCTGCTCCGGGACGTTTCCTTGGATTTGTGGCGCTGACCCTTTTCCCAACCTCTTTTCCAAGGAAGATCACATGCCCTAGCTGGATTCCAAAAAATTCCCGGCCAAAAACCCACTCCAAAACATTCCAGGACCGTTTGGCCGGGGCTTGGAGCAGCCTGGGATAGTGGGAAGCATCCCTGTGGAATCTGAGACCCTTCCCACCGGAACCATTCCATGATTCCCTGCATCTTTCCAAGCCCCTTCCCCTCGGGCGGGAGAGAAATTCCCGGCTCCGTGTCTGCCTCCGGGAGCCCGGGAAGGGATTTTCCATGGGAAATCCGATCCCTCCGGCATGCAAGGTGTCCATGAACATTCCCGGTTTTCCCAGGGCGAGCTGGGGCTGCCTCCCTGTGGTTCTCCTTTATCCCACCCCATCCCGGTGGTTTTCCAGCCGGGATAAACCCTCTGCACGTCCCCAGCTCCAAATCCCGGCACTCGGCCGCTTCCCGAGGCTCGGCATAAAATCCCAAACTCCCAGAAAACCACGGCGACCTTTTCCCTCTTCCCTCTGCTCCCCTTTTCCAAGATTCCGGGCGACAAGCCGGGAGTGAGGTGCTTCTCCCGGGGTTTTCCTGGAGCTGGGAATTGGGGAACTGGGAGATTCCCGGCGCCAGAGGTGGTTGTTGTTGTTATTCCTGGCCCGGAGCTTTTCCCGGATCCGCGACATCCCCGGCTCCGGGATCCTCCGGCCAACGACAACAACAACATCCAAACAACATCGGAGAGGCCCCAGAATTCCAGGAAAATCTTATCCGGCCGTTCCCAGCCCTCGGAGAGCAGCTGGGGGGAATTTGGGGATGGAAAAGAGTGGGATTCGCATCCCTTCCTGCCGCGGATAACGGGATAAACTCCGGGAAGGACGGGCGGATCCATGGAAGCGGCGATTCCAACCCATCAAGGAGATCCCAGGACTGGGGGCTACAGCTGGAATTTTTGGGATTACTTCAAATTCTTTGGGGTTTTTTATGGGTTTTAGGGGTTGTTTTTCTTTTTTTTTTTTTAATTATTTGACTTTTTTATAGAGTTTGGGGGGTTTTTTTGGGATTTTTTTCAAAATTTTGTAGGTTTTTCAATGGGGTTTGGGATTTTTTGGGATTTTTTTAAATTATTTGACTTTTTAACAGGTTTTTTGTGATTTTTTCAATTTTTTGGGATTTTTAAAGGATTTTTTTGATTTTTTTTTAATTCTTTGATTTTTTTAATGAGTTTCTGGTGTTTTTGAGGGATTTTTTTCAAATTTTGGGGGGATTTTAAAATCTTTTCTTAATTCTTTGACTTTTTTATGGGGTTTTGAGCTTTTTTCAAATTTTTGGGGATTTTCAATTTTTTTGGGGAGGATTTTTTTTTTTTAAGATTCTTTGGGTT